TCTACCATCTTGTTGTCGCTGCCACCAAGGCTGCCCTGGAGCATCACATTTCCAACGAGCCCTTCCCTGTTGTTGAGCACGAGGTCAAGCATGGCACCTCTCCTTGTTGGCTCCTCTATTACTTGCAGAAGGAAGTTGTCTTCCACACAATCAAGGAACCTCCTGGATTGCTTGCCGGGCTGTACCATCCTTCCGACAGATGTCAGGGTGGTTGAAGTCACCCATGAGAACAAGGGCCTGTGAGCATGAGGCTTTTCTTATCTGTCTGGAGAGCGCTTCATCCACAGGTTCTTCTTGATCATGTGGTCTGTAACAGATCCCCACAGTAATGTCTCCCATAGCTGTTCTCCCTTTAACCCTGACCCACAAACTCTTTGTCAACTGCTCACCTGTCCCCAGACAGAGTTCCATACTCTCCAGCCTGTCCCTAACATAAAGGGCAACTCCCCCTCCCCGCCTGCCGGGCCTGTCTTTCCTAAAGAGCCTGTAACCTTCCATTCCAACACTCCAGTCATAGGAGCCATCCCACCATGTTTCTGTGATACCTATTATATCATACCCCTGTAGATGTGCCCACTTCTCTAATTCCTCTTGTTTGTTCCCCATGCTACGGGCATTTGTATAGAGGCATCTGAGCTGAGCTCCAGCTGAAGCCAGCTCATTGGCTGGAGCAGCTGGGATATCTCTACATTGCTCCAAGCATTTATTATAGGTGCTGGCAACTGACTGGGTGTGTTGGGATGGAATGATGCCCCCCTCCCCCAACACATCTAGTTTATGAACAAAGGTTCATTATGAACAAAGGTTATGGGGAAATTATAACCAGAAAGTAACTATTAGTAACACATCACCAAAATGAAGAACAGTCTCGTTGGATTTGCATAGGAATATATCCTGGATCCAGTTTTCAGTATCTTCAAAGAAGTTCTGAATCAAGGAACAATCTAATTATTAGATGTCAAGAACTTAAAGTTACAAGAAAATATGAAAGTGGGTCAATGAAGAGACAGAATTCAAAATGACAAGTTGGAAAAAAATGTTTGTAATGGCAGAATCAAATTCGACGAAAACCTGGGCAAAACACTGTGCTAAAGAAGAAATAATCAGCTTCATAGTACTGGATGGGAGCAGCTTTTTGAAGAAGAGGTCTATGTGTCATAGCACAAAAGTCAAACATGAGACAACAGCATCTGTTTTTATAAAAAAGGCACACATGACACTTTTTTCCTGGTCATTACTGAAAATTTATTAAAACAAGCACACAAACTTCTTTCATCCTGCTTGTACTCTAACTGAGCTGATTGATAGCTGAGCTGGTGCTTCAGCTGATGCTACCCTCTTAGATTTTGTGATTCTTTAGTAATTTTTCACTGCGGATACACCAGTGAAAAGAGTCTGTGCTATTCCACTGTCAGCTAATGGACACTTGAGAAATTAAATATATTTTTTGATCCCTCTTCCTTTTCAAGGCATAACACACAAAGCAACCTTATTTTGAATTATAAAGAAATTAAAAATCTGAATAGTGATATTTAATTCATACTTCTGTACTACAATTCTTATTAGTCTTATGTGACCTAGTTCTTTTGTTGTGTTTCAGAAGAATGTGAAATTGGCTGGGGTTTGTGGTTTTGGGGTTTTATCCATAATAAACTAAACTATTTTCACAACATATCTGTAAAAAAACTGTCTTTGTTGCAGGCTAAAAAATGGAATGAACTGTATATTGTTCAGTTCTTCTCCCAGGGCAAATGTATTTTCTGTCACCTTCAGCATTTTGACTTTTTTAATGCAAAAGGAAAATGAGAGAATAATATGCTAAACAGATCAAAGCTCAGAACCCTAATACATTTAACAGGCTCCATTCTTGGAATTGTATTCATTATTGATATCAGAGTGACAAATCTGTTTAAGTCAATGGAGATAGCCTATGGAAATTAAAAGGAAATTTAGCCCTAAGCCTTGTCTCATAAAAGAACTATAATGAAAAATATGGGGAACTACTTACAGTAGAACATATTAATAGATTTATATTGTTATTTCTATTTTAATCAACAAGTCCTTAAGAATTATAAAGTTTTTACTAACAATGCAAAGGCTTCATATGAGTTAATATTTTTGTTATTTTGGATTTGGATACAGGAAACAAATATAATGTTCACTGTGTGAAAGTTATCAAAGAAACACTGGAGGAAACTGGAGGAAACCTAACTACTAGGTATATCATGTTAGATAACAAAAATGTTTCAGTTATGGAGTTTTTATTCACACACAAAAAAAAAAATCCTTGAGTTGATGTGATTTTGCTATATGCATTTCTGCTTGTCTTTTTACCCAAGTTCTAATTACATTATCAATCTTCTCCCTCTTAAACTGGGGAAAAAAGTATGGATTATGTTTTTGCGTTTCCTAACATCTAATCAGATTTGAGAAATATTGGTAGCAAAATCATTCTAGATGTATGTTTTATTTAATGTTAATATATTATATATGCTAATGTATTATATATATTTAGTCGGGTATAGTGCTTTTACTTTTCTCTATATTTCTATACCTAGCAATAAGGTCAGTTCATAGATGCAAGACTGCAAAAAACCCCTCAGTGAAATCATAGAATGGTTTGGGTTAGAAGGGACCCTTAAAGTTTGTCTAGTCCAGCCCCCCCACCACAGGCAGGGACAGGTTGCCCCATCCATCCTGACCTTGAATGTTTTCAGGGATGGGGCATTTACAACTTCTCTGAACAACCTCTTCTACTGTTTTGTCAGTCATTGTAATAAATTTCTTTGTTATACCTAGTCTGAATGTAGCTTTACCGAAAATCATTGCCCCTCATCCTATTGCTACAGGCCCTGCTAAAGGCTTGCCCCCAGATTTCTTATAAGCCCCCTTTAGGTACTGGAAAGCTGCAAGAATATCTTCCTGGAGCCTTCTCTTCTCCAGGTTAAACAACCCCAACTCCCTCAGCCTGTCTTCATAGAGAGGTGTTCTGGGCCTCTGATCATCTTTGTGACCTTCCTCTGGAAGCATTCCAACAGGTCCATGTCCTTCCTGTACAGAGGACTCCAGAGCTGGATGCAGTATCCCAGGTGGGGGTCTCACCCGAGCAGAGCAGAGGGGGAGAATTGCCTGAAATTCATTCCCAGATCAAACCAGGCAGAAACTAATCATCTCAGACCAGGAATAATGATATAACTTTAACCACCAGATCAGTCCATGGATTTAGCTTTGATATAATTAACCACAGTCACAGTGGTTCCCTTTGCTAGATATTTTTTTTTTTTTTCCAGAATGCATTCCAATAGAAAATACTGCCTATTGACTCAAAACTGTAATTTACCTTTTTGGTGAATAAATTATTAATAAGTCATCTGTGTATTGAAGTTACATGATTTTATTTTTATTACTCAACAAAGTTACCTTTGTTTCCTTTAATATACTAACATGGTAAGAAAACTTAGAAGGTTTTTTTATTACCCTAATCTCCACAATAAAGGAAATTCTCTGCTTCAATAAACTTTAAATTCTCAAGTCTCCCTAAAAATAGAATTCCTGTGATTAGAATTTGGAACTTTTTTAATGAAGGAAACGTTTCTGCAAGCTCTTCACTTCATATGGAACAGCTTCCAGTAATGACCTGCATCACTGACGAATTAGAAGAAGAGACATTAACTGTATAAAGGAAGTAATTTTGATTACAGTTCTTAAGAAAACAATGCAAGTATTATGGCAGATTGATCTGAAGCAAAATATCTGCCACACGTCAGTGGGTGTTAGAACTCAAAAATGAAATATAGCTCTTTGGGTGGATACTGTCTCTAAAAGTTGGGGGATTTTTATTACAAAATAACATGACTTTGTACTCATAAAAATGGCTTTTTTTAATATGTCATCATGATCCTTAATGAGGAATCCGTAGGACTCAATCATTAGTCTGAGTTATCCAGACCTTAAATACCTTCTACTCTATAGCTGAGCTCTGAAAATGTGGGGTTTTTAGGCACACCATTTCAGAGTATCACCCTCACCATCCTGGTGCCTTTCCTGATTTTAAGAGGTTTTCCACTCTAAATCTGCAGACATAACTAATCCTTCATTGTTCATTCTTCCAGACATCTCCTGAAGAAATGATGCCCCACAGAATCATTGCAATTTGTTAGATACCACTATTTTTATGTATTTTATCTTCTGTAATGCCATTGATACAAAAAATTTGCATTCGTTCCTTCTAGACAGAAAAAAAATAAGTTATCCAGGTACACCCAAAGAGGCTGTCAGGATGCATAGTTCTCCATCCTTCTTTTTTTTTTATAGCTTAGCCTAGTCTTTCACTCTCATCCATAGTCCATCGGAGACAGAGCTCTCTAATAAATTTACATTCCTTCTGTCAGGTTTCTGTGCCATAGCTCTTGCAGAAATGGACACTTAGCATGCAATTCACAGTTTCAGTTACACAAAGTCCCCTGGACTGGGAAAATTTGCTCTTGAGGCTATATCCTGCTCCTGGTGATGAGATGCCTCCACTTTAGTGGAGGATTAGAGGGTTAATGACTCTTCATTGTTAATTCTCTGGTGGTTGTCGCACATTCTCTCTTAGAATCTTTCTGGGTATTCAGTCCAATATGCGGGTTAAATGGCCAAAAAGAAATGTGACTGTAGAGGGATTTAAGATTTCAGGCATATGTTAATCTGTCATTATCATAAAGAAAATAACAAAATCCTGAAAGCAACAAGAATAGCTGCAGATAAATAGGAATATATTTCTATCCCTTAATATTAACCTGTGCTAATAAGCCTATATACACAAATACACTTTTGCAGCCTTTTCCTGAGCATTCACAGTGCTGATGCTTATAACACAGCTTAAATAACAGTATAACACCAATGGAAATTCAGGAAATACTATCTTCATAACAACATCCGTTCAATTTACAGTTTTGAGAATTTCTGTCAAGTATGGTTATGTGTGATCTTCCATTAATATTTGCTTTGTTTTTTAGCTCCAGACCAGTCTGTCTGAACCAATGACATTATCCAAGTCGATCTCACTTCCTCGTAGTGCGTATTGGCATCATATCACCCGGCAGAACAGCGTTGGAGAAATCTACAGTTTACAAGGCAAGTTCTTTATACGCAAATACAATGTCCATTAGCTTCTTTCCATTTGACCAGAATTCATGCAAATTGCTTTTTATTTGCACTGGTTGTTTTGTCTCCATTTCAGTTTATCAATTGTTAGGAACCTCAGCAGGATTCCCAAATTTACATAAAGCTGGTTTCTTTTAGTCATTTTGTAAAGTAATGGTGAAAATAATTCCCAGAATCACCGCATAAAGCTGGGCAGACAATTTGGCTCAATGTAGCTTCTCAGTAGCTAATGAATGTCAGGTTGTTTTAGTATTTTCTTCCAGTAAGTTTGTGTATGTATTTGAGCAATCTCAAGGTGCTCAATTAAATCTACATAAAGTGGCTATGACTTGCAAGATTAAACAAAATAATTCTAGGAATAAGAGCTACTCTTGGTGAATTTGCTTGGGATTAATATATAAGAATTGTTGATTTGACTAACTTGCAGTTCTGTATACATACCATCCTTTTATGCTTCCAATTCTTTTTCACCTGTTTAGATTCTAAGATATTTGCTGAAGACTTTAAATGCTATAGTTAATATAATTTGATGATGATGGTGATGATTCACTGGGCTTAAGGTGAAAGTGATTTGAACCTTTTAGAAAACTGAAATCGTTGCTACATTTAAGATGTAGATCTCAGTTAATTCTATTATGTTCACTTTTAAAAATAACAACCTATCATAAACATGTTGTTTTGTATTACTTGAAAGGGGTTTAAGGATTTCATTTCACTTCACTCTTAATAATGTTTACATAAGCAATTTACATTTAGATAGGAAGTTGGAAACTGCTCACAAATAAGAATACGCAATGCAAGAAAACACAGTACATATTTTCATTAAAATAAGCAAAATGCAGTATCAAAATGAAAGACATAAAATGTTTTGGTTTGTAAATTATCACGTAAATTAAAATCAGCAGGGGAGCTGTGAATTCAATGGGTGACTCATTAAAGGGTAAAACAAGGTGTTTCCCATCATCCCCCATACAATAAAGTTAATTTCTAATCATGATTATATTCTTACAGTTAAATACCAATAATGGAAAAAAGAAAATAACCTTCCAGTAGTTGTTGTTGAAAAATGTTGTCCTTCAGATCACTTTAAAAATTTTCATCGTATGACTGGTATTTCTTCATGATCACAATAAAAGAATAAAAAAGGTTATTTGTAAAGATGTTAGAGTTCCTCTCCTTATGACCTTGATAGGTCTTGCCTTTGGCAGAAAAGTAGTAAATGTTTTATGATATACATGAAGATAAATATATGGAATGTTGTCCATTTTCACAATCTTTTGTTTCATATAAATGGCCTTTGCCACAAAGGAAAGCAAAACTTCTATATCAAGTAATAGTTTATTATGTACACCAACTAGCTTTGCAGGGTGCAACATATTGGAAGTGTATTATTAAAAATGCAAGAATTTTACTTTTTGGAAGTATGCAGATTTTATTCATGAGACAAATATTTCAGAACATAAGATTTTTATTTCTCTTACATGTACTATGATGACAGAAACTTGAGAAAAGTTGTTGACTTCAGGACAGACTATTTTAGTTTTATCAGTGGTCTAAGAAATGCATCCAAAGGACAATTTTGTCTCCCTGTGGTTGCAAACCTTTTACAAGCAAGAGTATTCATTATATGTAATGAAGATCTCTTTGAACCTTGCTGCTGCAATGACTAATTAAATGCAGTGTATTTGTACAGAATCTGAAAGGAGAGCAAAGTACACCTTTTCCTCCTAATACCGGTTCATAGAGATAGTCTACCTGTGAGATATCTACCAGTTGTCAAAGCATCAGTTCACAGGATGCTTCAGGATGTGGGTGGAAGGTAGGTAGTGAGGGAGCAGGTTTTAAGCAACCTTCAGCCCTCATATTAGTACAGCAGCCAGATGAGAGGAGCTGTTGCAGATGGAAAAATCGTTTACTACCACTGTGAGCTTGAAAAGGTGAATTATACCTTCAGAAAGGATATGTTTTCTTTAGGGAATAATCACAGAATCATAGAATCATAAAATAGTTTGGGTTGGGAAGGGACCTTAAAGATCATCTAATTCCACCCCCCCTGCCATGGGCAGGGACACCTTCCAATAGACCAGGTTGCTCAAAGCCCCATCTAACTTGGCCTTGGGGTAGGGGCAGCTGCAACTTTCTCTGGGCAGGCAGTTCCAGTGCTTCGCCACCTTCACAGTAAAGAACTTCTTCATATTATCTAATGTAAGTATACCCACTTTCAGATTATTTGTCAAACTCATGTCTGCACTTCATGTGTATTTATGACAAGGCTTTTCATATTCAAGAAACAAACTTGAAAATTCCACACATTCTTTTGAATATCTCACAAACTCTAAAATGAAATAACTAGAGTGGTCTCTACCTACCTATATTAAGATTACTATAAACATCAGTAAAGTAACACCCTAACTCCCTTTTAAGTATACTGTAAAAGTGTTTCCATAGTGGCGATTATTTCAAACTTGCAGTCTGAAGTGACTAGAATTGAATTAATAACAGCTGGTGATGTGTAAGGAGAAATGAATATGTGCTCATGCTACCTTAGATAAATTGGCTCTTCGGGAGTTATTTAGCAATCGAATTTAACTTAATTAGTAGTGTGAGTTGATCTGATAATGAATATGCTGTAGAGTAAGAAAGTAGGGGCTTTTGTGGTTTGCTTTTTTCTTTTTTTAAAGACTACATTTCACGTGGGAAATGGCAATTCAATAAATGACTATTGGGTTTATCATCCTCCATTTGCCCATGAAAACACTTATGTGTACAGACCTGAAAAGATTAAAACACAGAACAATAGTGGTAAAGAAACACAGGTTGCACAAAATATCCTAAAATGAGGTGGGCTGGCTTCTCTTTTTATACAACTTTTCTTCCATTTGTGTCTTCCTTGCACTCTTTCAGTTCTTGGTCGCTCCGCCAAGATAAAAATAGTAGTCTAATTGTCTAATTAATATTGTCAATAGGAATAACTTGGTGGGTGGGAGCACATCACTACAGGTATTCACTTCAGATTTTGCAGATAGTGCTGCAGGTCTGACAGTTTCCATCTATGATCTGCAGCCACTATAGAGGTTGTGGTGTGGGGCCTCATTAGCTGACACAGTGACCTCTTAGAGCTGTGCATTGCCTCTTCTCTCTGTCCAATGGGACATCAGGCATGTGGCAAGCCCCAGAACTGCATAATAAAAAGGGGAATCACTGCCATGTCAGAAAATGGGAAAAAGTTTTTAAGGCATCAGGTTAAATTGCAGTCTAAACTTCTGTGTTGAAGTGATTTCACTTAAAATCCCAGCTGATACCCATGGCTTTACAAATCAGTGCCTGTTTCTAAAGTGTGCAAATCGATAATCCATATCTTGCCTTTTATTGCAGTTAAGAAATGAAAAAAAAAAAATCCTTGCAGATTTTTAATTATAGTTTAAGTAACAGAGAAAATGATATATAATTTATTCTTATAAAATATTTTTTTTAATTTATTATTCATAAAATATATATACACAGCATTTTGTGCATGCATGAGTAAGACTTAAATGTGTTGTATATTTTCATTAATAATAGACAGCTCTGTAAAGTATTCAAGCCCAACATAAAATAACATTCATTGCTATGTTATACTCTTTTATACATCAGGATTTACAAAAACACAAAAATTGCAAGTCAAGAGTAACCTTGTGAACTGAAATCATTGCTCAGAAGGAGAAAAATAAAAGAGCCATGTAAGCATGGAAAAAAAAAAAAAAGAAACTGTACGTATTTTCAACTCATTGCCTGTAGTTGCTTCCTGGCATAAGATTTAGCACTGTTTCACAAGATACTAAATACTGACAAACAAAGCACATGTCTTTTTAAATAGCCCAAGGTAACGGGTAGCGTTAATATGTGACATTTCCTTAAATCTCCTTTTGAGAGTTTATATTTGCTTAGGACAAAAAAAGGATTACAAACTGAATTTTCAGCTAGCTGAAATTTAGTGTTGTAGTCTTTGCTCTAGGGAATTTGGATAGTACAATTTTTACACACAGTCAATTTGTGTAATAAACAAATAAGGCCAAATAAAATTTTGGTGTGGAAACCTGCATTAGCTTTTTGTATTGCAGTTATTGTAATCCCTGAGGAAATTATGTTCAAAAAAAAATCTAATTACAGTCTGGCCTTTCTCCAAGAAATTCAAAATTAAGAATTGCTTTCAATCACCCCAGTTGTTTTTGAGTCTGGTTTGTATTCCTTATTTAGACTTTGTTTTTGGGATCCGTACTTAAAGTGATGAACACCTACCCACATAAGCAAGCCCATTCATTTTCGTTTGAGTATTCACATGAAGGGATGTGTTTGTATCAGAATTCATGACTAACATCTTACATGTTTGTTGTAAGTACATGATCAAAACCCAAACTAGACTGAAATAAAAACTGGCCTTGATGAGGTCTGTAGGAATTTTGCTGTTGGTATGCAATTATAATTTGTATTTCACACTAAAAATGCAAGAAACATAAATCTGCTTTTGCAAATCAAAACAGAGGGAAATTCTGGCTCATCTTTGTCCTCAGTGAGCAAGCCTGCATTGCCCTTTGTCTTTTGGCCTTGTTAGGTGGGAGCTCATCATTCCTTCCTTTTTTAATATATTTTAAGTAGAATAACATGTGTTAACCTGTCCAGCTGAAAGGTTTTGCATGTACAAGGGAGACAGTTGTACATGTATGATTTCTCCAAGTTACGTTAGTTTCCAGCCTTTTTAAAGTAGAAGTTCTGACATATCATTAAAAATAATGAGAGAATATTTGAGTTGCTAAATATTTTGAAGGGTCTGAATCATCCTGTTCAACCCCCCCTAAGCTAATCCTGCAGGAATTTCCAGTGTGGGCTTCTGCATTTCTCTGCAAATTAAATATGTAAAATGAATTGGAGGATGTTTGTCATTTTGGCATTTCCATTGTTTGTTCATATCCTCAGCAATAGAGTACAGAATC